ATCTATTCTTTTTATGGTTACACTGAAAGTTTTAATTTCTATCGCTCATTTTAAACTGGAATAGGAATTTTAAGTCACGACTGCTACAGTAGCAAATAAGTGAAATGGTCAGTATACAGGGGCGAATTCAGGAAAATATGTCTACAAAGCTACACGGAAAAAAATGTTTTCTAAATGTAAGAATACCTACCTTTATTCTTAAAAAAATTGTCAAGGCTAAAACTAGCATTAAACTAAATATTAATCTTTCTTTAAACAACCAGATCTTATTCTTGCCTGTTAAATGTTAAGAAAAACTTTAAATGAAATAATCTTACTCTTAATTTAAGATTAACAATCGATTAAACCAAATTTTTGAAAATTCCCTCTATTCTGTTCATAAAGATATAAAACTATACTGGATATAAATATAATTATATTTATTAAGATTAGTAAATATTGGTACGACTGGCCTATTCTTAAAAATATCCCCCACACGAAAGTGTCCGACATTTTGGAAGATTGTTTCTTGTGTTAGTTAATATTTGGATATGAATTATGAAAGAGCTGCTAGATTAGTGGAATTTGATAGAATTAACCACCAAATGTACATTGAATTTTTTTATTTACCATCCTTAATGCGTCCCTGTAAATTACTATGTAAATAGTATATACAGCCGCAATTCTGCAATGCGAAAGGTAATGGTCATCCTTTCTAATTATACAAACAGATTTGACCAAATGAATACATTTTAGATTTTGCAATGTTATACATTTTAGATAATAAATTTGCTTTACGAGCGTGGCAAATGGTTAATTGCAACATTAGATAGTTGTAATATTTTAAGAGGGGGTTTCAAAAAATGTTTCCAAATTTATTAAACTCCATAAAAAACATAACGAAAGTGTTATTGTTGTGAATTTCATGTTATATAATCTGAAACAATAAAAAACACAGACAATATGACAACAATGAGTAAATAGAGCAGAAGTGCAAAAATAATTAAGAACCAGAACCAGAACATCTAATTGTTGACCTTAATTTAACAATAGATGCGTTACATTTTATCATATCAATGCAATATAATTTAAATTAAACAAATTATACAGAATGTAAAGAAAACACGTTTCAAAACGACCCTATACTAAATTTTTGTTGAAAAATTTTAAGTAGAAAAGTGCACAATATTAACTACAAAAATTTATTCTGAAAATTAGTAGTAATTATAGTAACAGTACCATGTTAAAATTAGTTTAATTTTATTTCAATGTTTTTTCATGGATAACTTGACAAAATAAATTTTCGTAGTTATTTTTGTGCATTTTTTTTCTTAAAATTTTTCAATAAAATTTAGTATAGGGTAGTTTTGATGGGTGGTGAATCTAGTGCTGTGCTTAGATTTTGTTTAAAAAAATCGCTAATATGAATTCTTAAAAATTTACTCTTAAAAACTGACATAGTAGGCCTTGTATTTTGTACTTATATGGCGTCTTTTGCTCCAAAAATACAGTTTATCAAGATCTACATTTTAAAACAAATCCGGTTAAAATCGCACAATAAATAAAGATTTTACAGGGGTGAGTCGCAAACAAATGGGTCACACTGTATATATATATATATATATATATATATATATATATCAATAATTGAATAAGAATAATTATTATTGTTATTCGTTAATTTTAAATTTAACCCCGGCGAATTCGCCATTTTTGAAAGTAAAATAATGAATATTTTTTACTGGATACCTATATTTTTTTAAATGTGCTTAGGTATTAGTTAAAAAAACACTAAACTAACGTTTAATTTTAATGTCACAACATTTCCAATGAAGCTTGCTTCATTTAGCGCAATTACTTTTTCTTACTCTTTATCTCTCATAAACCCACAATTAGTTTGATTTCATAATTGTTATGAAATCATCACAATGGCTTGAGGATTACTCTCGTTATTACGACCGCACGAAGTATCTTCTTTGGTTTGCGGAAGTGAAAGTAAAGCAAGTCCGTCGGCGGTCTAAGGGGTCATTTATGACCAAGAAATAGACAGACAATCGGTTGAATGTGGAGCAAGAAATTATGGAGGTGATTGTTAATGGGAACTAACAGATTCTCATCTCTCACAATGTGCGATAGTTATTATAGGAAGTGCGGTTTATGTTTATTTTTTGTTACATTGTATTATATTTCTTATGTGTATCCACCAACATTTCTAAAAACCTTTGAAAGTTTTTCCTCTATCATATTTGCATTAGTGCAATTTTTTTATTAAAAAAATCATTAAAAATCTATAAGTAAATTTCACCTTCACTTTTTACGTGTTTCACAAAATCATAATAAATGTTTAATTATCCCGCCGGTATATCCACAGAAGAATATTTTAGTTTTTTTCTTATAAATATATAAAAAGGATAGTTTTTTTGTTAAAACTTTATTTACGTTTACTTAAAAATAAGAATATTTGAATTTTTAATAACAGTTTTATAAAAACATGCAAAAAAGTATAGTAATTGGACATTTTATATAGTAATTGGACACATATGGACCATAGTTATTGGACATACAATTTTTATATAAACATATCAACTTTACATCAAATAACATAAACTTTTAAATATTTTTTAAACATAAATTGTTGTTTTAGGTAATTTTTTTTATTTCGTTTTTGTGACGAAGAAATCACTATATTACTTATTTTCTAAAAATGTCAGCGAAAAAGCAGCCACTAATAATTCTCGTCAACAGCAATTTGTATCCAGGACATTTAGCAGTCAATTCCTATGAAATATTAAAATTAAAACGCATTAAAGTGACAATGTATAAACCATGAGGAACACTTTTATACCACACAGTGATCTGTACACTTTTTAGAAATATTTTATTGTAATTTTAACACATCCCTGCTCTTAACAAAAAAAACAAAAATCTTACCACCAAAGTAGAACTTTTTTGTTCTATAATATTGAATTATTGAAACTATAGTTAAAAATCAACTTGTGCAATATTTAAACAAAAATAATATAATAACAGAACATCAGTCAGGTTTTCGAGAAAAACATTCATGTGAATCGGTAATTTTGAGTATATGTGATAACTGGTTAAAAACTATAGATAATAATAATATTGTTATTGCGGTTTTCCTTGATTTTAAAAGAGCCTTTGAAACTGTAAATAGGTTATTATTAATAAAAAAGTTGGAAAAATTAGGTATAGGGGATAAAGCTTTAAGTTGGATGATTTCTTACCTTACAGAAAGATATCAAAAAGTCAAATTTAATAATACGTTTTCTAGTCAATTACCAACCTGTCATGGAGTCCCACAAGGAACAGTATTAGGTCCTTTACTTTTTGTATTGTATATAAATGACATTACAAAATATATTAAACATTGTCAAATTAAACTTTTTGCGTATGATACAATGATTTATATATATGGTACAAATATTATGGAAATGTGTGATAAACTAAATTGTGATCTTGATAGTATTTTTAAATGGATCTGTGATAACAATCTATGTGTAAATAAAAGTAAATGTAAATATATGTTTTTAGGTAGTAAATATAACTTAACTAAAGTTAGTGATGTAACCCTTAAAATTGACAGTGATGTTTTGGATAGGGTAAATAAAATTAAATATTTAGGAATAATAATTGATGAACAACTAAATTTTTATGATCATGCTAATTATATTAGAAATAAAATATCAAAAAAACTGTATTTTTTAGGGATAATAATTAGGATTTTGAATTTTCAAAATCATATGTTGTTATATAAGACATTAATTTTACCCCATTTTGATTACTGTTCTACAGTTTTATATAGATTGCCCCAAAATCAAATCAAAAAATTTCAGGTTTTACAAAACAAATGTATGAGGTTAATTTTAAAATGTAATAAATATACACCTGTTAAAACTATGTTAGAAGTGTTAAATCTATTAAGTGTTAAACAGAGAATATATTTTAGGACTATGGAATATATAAAATAAAACACGGAAAAGTGCCAAAATATCTATGTGACAAGTTACAATATGTTAATTCCATACATGCATATCAAACTAGAAATAAAAATGATTTTTATATAGAAACTTCTAGAAATGCTTAATGTATGAACAATGTTTTTAAAAATGGCCTTATTATGTTTAATAATTTACCAACAGAAACTAAAAATTGTGATAATTATAATAACTTTAAAAAATTACTATTGACATTACTATTGACATAATATATTATATTAAACAAAACGTGTATATTAGGGTGTCCCTTATTTTTATTTTTTTTACGCATACCCTCTAATTATATTTATTACTTGTTTATATACTCCCAGTAAAAATTTCAGCTCATTCTATAAACGGGAACCCGTGCCGACTTGCATCTGAACCCTCCATTAGCCAACGTTAGGCGCGCGGTATTTTCTAACACGGTTGGCCGCTAGGTCTTCGATCGTAAGTCATTTTGTGTTTGTTATTATGTGACCCTTATATTATAAATTATTGACAAATGTTAAAATATAGTTTTATTTATGTATACTTTGATAAAAATGTATATTTTCACAGGGAGTGGCTAGTTACCCGGAAGGGTCTGGTGAATAGGCCGTAAACTCTGAAATTGATAAACTTAATAGGTTTTACTCTAAATAACTAAAAGAGTCTATTGTGAGAGATGACTACCGAAAACTTATTGAACTGTCTGAAATATTTCTGGGAGGACATCAAGAAAAGAAATGCTTATAAAAAGCTGAAATTTCATATAACAGTATATTTTAGCAATACTAATTAGTATATTAAAATATTTAAGGGATAAAATCAACTAAATTAGTGAAACAAATGATAGAAACAAAAGCAATAATATTAATTAGTAATCATATTTAATAAAATCATTAGAAAAATACAGTCATGAAGTATATCTTTTTATATATTTCTTGTTTTTACAGTGTTAATGTTAATTGTCCAATAACTATAAAGTGTCCGAATTTACTAGTGACAGCAAAATATTGACCAAACACAATTTTCTTCTTTCAGACTGAAAACCGAGCACTTCGCCTAAAAGACGCCGTGACCATGGCACCCTTTAGCCTGGAAGTGCCAGTCTCGGGCAACGCACCGGGCCCCAACGTTCCTCTAGCCCTGCAGAGCTTCGAGACCACGGATGGACGACTAACCTGGAACTACTTCGACGAGGGGGGCTACGTGAGCAGGGCCGGACTCAGGGAAGGCGAGGACCCCTACGTGCGAAACAGATTCAACCAGGAAGCCAGCGACAGCCTTCCCAGTAATAGGGAGATTCCTGACACCAGAAACGCAATGTAAGTAGTTTAAAGCCTGATTTATAGATTGCAATATATTTTGTAAAAGATGAACAATACGAAAATCGCAGTGCCATTTATAAATTCCCGTACGGGAATCTATAAACAGCACAACAGTTTTTGTATTGTTCATCTTTTACGTGAGGAAGGGAGGAAGGCAATCTATAAACCAGGCTTAAGAATTACAAGAATGTTTTTTACTATAAATAAAGTATAAACTATAAGCTTGACGAGGAAGCAGACTAAATGTGCAAATTCAAGCCTGTAGATACCCAATTAATAATCCTTATCGACGTAGTCACGTAATAAAATTAAAAATCAATTACACGGATGCATAAACAACGCAGCGTTAAATAAATTGTCTCGAGGAAAAGTGAAAATCATTTTGCACATTAGTAAATAGAAACACGTATCAGATAAAGCCGCCGCAGCCATTCCCGATATTCTCCGTGTCCTCGCTGATTTATCTATCGATTGGAATCGAGATCTCCATACAAGGAAGCCGCAGTTGCTGAATACAAAACGCATAAACAATGACACAACTTTCATTTAATCGACAGCTCCAGTACGGTAGCACGCTTGGATTAAGTGCGATTTGCATAATTACACCACCGAACCTAAGATGTCGCCTCTTGCAATGGGCGAAGCTTACTGCCTCAAGACTTACAGTTCCTTAGATCTTTCTTGACAGACTTTAACCTTTGTTCATACTCTAAAACAATTTGTTGATACTGTAACGTTTTTACTGTTCGTAGTGTGAATAAAAACACGCACTGGTCAATTAACGAACTAAACTATTTATTTTATAACTTAATTACACTTAAAACACCAATAAACTATAAAACTACAAATTATTTATAATACTATAATACACTACTGTTCAAGAGTCTTTTTTGCACTATTTATTTCTTCGGGAGTACCAAAGCTCATTTGACTGCTCTATGCTGCGCTGTTCCTTATATATTCAGTGCCTACGTGACACCAGTCACGCAAGCGCCTTCTAGAATATTCCAGCGAGCTCCGCACCGCTCTCGATCGCTAGAGCGCTGACTCACCGACGATGACTTATCATTCCGAGATCCAGAGCGGTACTCGCTACAATACTCTTCAACCCTATTATAGAATGTTCAGAAATAATTTCGTGACCTACAACTATCCCCATCTTCCAGTATAAACCATTTTTCAATTTTGTCATATTCTAAAAAAGTCCAATTTATATAAATTTTTTTTAAGTTGTTTAATTGTGCTAAACAAGGACTTTTGTTATTTAGAGGATTTGTGTTACTCAAAGGTAGTTTGTATTTGTGTTTGCTTTTATCTTGTGTGTCATCAAAGTATGTATGTAGGTATTCAGTTTTTGTTGTAATGATTGAACAATGCAAACAAGCTGAGATACTTTCATGTAGGAAAGCCTGATGTGTTTTTTATAAGCAAATGTTTTGATACATATTTCCTTAAAATTATCAATGTTTAGGTATTTGAAAGGTATTTTGATTCTCTATTCAAATTAAATAAAGTAGGTTACAATAACTTTCCAATTAGTCTTTAAATTAAATGTTCGAAATGCTCCCCTTGTACATTTTAACACAAAAATAGTGTGTTTCTAAATTCACGTTTCGTTTCGTGTAATATTCGCACATCCACGTCTACTCCGTCGTTAGGTTACGTTTGGATTTCGTATGTTTTTTTTAAACATCCCTTTGTATATTTGAAATAAGTTATTGTTTTTTTTGACACCTTAATATTTTTTAAAAATACAATTGTACATAAATAAAATATTTATAAAAAAATCTACTTACTGAGATATTGCACTTCACGGTGGATAAGTTTTTAAATAGGAAATTAATGAACTTAAACTTTTGAATTATAAAACAGCAACACTCTCATCGGCATATATATTCTAACTGACCTTAAGGAATCCCATGCATCTATAATGTTGTAAACAGAGGTTTTTGCTTATTTAAAATGATTAAGGCGCCATCCGTTGCATAAAATTTAAAGCAAAAACAGATTCACGGAGGATAGAATCAATTGTTGTAACACCTACATAAATGGTTATAAAAATTATTTCTTTTAATTTTTAATAATACTTTGTATTTGATTCGATTGCTTTGGATGTGTTTAATTTACTTAGTGAAGTGATATTTTTAGTATGCTTTTACTACCTCAGGTATTTGAAAACATATAGGTTAACCTAGAAAGAGTAACAGTCACGGAGGATAGGTTTTATACTTTTAAAACATTGTAAAAAATAATTAATTGCGATTAAAAATCTGGAACCTGAGGTGTAATATTTACTTAATTACGAAAGATCAAAACTCAATAAAAGTATTGGTCAAACTCTAAATGAGTTTTATTAAATATCACTGAGTAACACCATCGGGGGACATATATATTGATACTAATTAATTATATTTTTTTCAGGTGCAAAAAAAGAGACTGGAGGTCTGATCTTCCCGCCACCAGTGTAATTATTACATTCCACAACGAAGCACGTTCGACCCTTTTAAGAACCATTGTTAGGTAATATATTTTTTTTCGAGAATCTAATGCTACACAATATTTTAGACCTAAGATCTCTCAACAAAAACCTATTCAGCTTGTAAGTTTGCTCCATCAATTGCCATTATCTTTTCAAGAAAACATCTACACCCTTATTAATGTAAATAAAGTGAACATTTATTTTGATAAAGAATATGGTTTTATATACGGCCAAGGCATGACGCACATAAATTACAAGAAGCGTTTGTTTTCGTTGAAAATGAAAGGGACATGACAACGTTTTTCTTTTAAGACAGGATCCATCAATATAAATTTTATTAATTGCATATATATCTTTATTTAATTTTTCCATGCTTGCAACACAAGCTTCCTTAACTCTCTAACACTGATATCGGAATTTTTCGACAAAAAATAATTTTTATTCTCCACTTTCGTCCCAGTCGTCTTCCAATGGTTAGGATCTAATATGTCGACTGGACGTCGTCGACTATTCTTTGCCAAGCCAATTTTTGACCTGGATTTTTCCGGTTCGATTTGAAATTCCGCCTGAATTGTCCTATATTCTTTTAAACTATTATCGGTGGGTTTTGTTGTCAAGGGTTTACAAGAGTGTTTGTTGTGAATTTTGGTTTTGAATTCTTTGAAATCCATGTTTTTAATTTGATTGAGTATTTTCGGCAAACTGGTAAAATTGACAGGAACTGATAACAGTTGTCAAATGTATGGGCTGCTCAACCATAAATAAGTTGTGATGCTAAAGAAACATCAGTATGTTACAAACATATATATGACTACAATTTATTTAAATATAAATAAAATAAATACTTTGGTAACATTAAAAGTAATACATTTAACATATCCTATGGAGTACCGCAAGGATCCATCTTGAGGCCAACTTTATTCTTAATTTATATAAATCTCCAATGATATGAATCTTATAAGCCAAAGGCTAAAATTTCACAAACTAACCTTAAATATCTAAAAATCATCATTTATTTGGATTAGAAATACTGTAAACAACGAGTAATCAGGAAATAATATTTAATAGCGGTATTCTACATAGAATGCATGAGGTAATCTATACTAAAAAGACTGAGTTACTCTGTACCGAGTGCCTACTTAAAATCTATTTATTATGCATTGGGGCACTCACACTTGCAATACCTAAACATCATTTGGTCAAGTGCAACAAAAAAATCTTAAGCCCCTAAATATTCTACAAAATAGAGGAATTAAAAACATTTATTCGCTAGACAGACAATACAAAATCTATAAAATTTATTCTCTAAACAACATTTACAAACTTCAAGTAAATTTGTTTATACATCAAGTTTATTATTTATAATCATTCTTTAAACAGTCTAACTTAACTTTCACCTTAGGATCTAACAAACATAAGCACAACACTAGGGCCAGAGCAAATATAGTCGGTACATTTTGTAGATCTCGATATGGTGTAAACTCTGTTTTTTTTAAGGAGTAAAAAATTATAACTTGCTTCCCAATAATAACCTTAAACAAAAAAACCTCATATTTTGCACGTTCAATTAAGGGCTTCTTGGGCTATATAAAGAATATGTATTGTTTTTCTTCGAGTTAAAATTTTGTCTTACTGTGTTAATTATCTCTGTGCTATACCTATATGTGTTTAATAATTAGATTTTAAGTTATAGGATAAGATCCAAACAATTAAATTTTTTATATATTTTTTTTATTTGTTAACTAAATTAAAAAAAAATTAAAAGGAGGAACCTCCATAGATATCCTGTAATAATCCTGGTTCAATAAAGCTATTCATTCATTCATTAAAAAAGATAAGTGTTTTAAAGAAAATGTTAAAATTATCGATAAAAACGAGAGGAAATTCTGGGTTGAGTTTTTACTGGTTACTCAATAAACAGTGTCAATCCGAATATAGAAATAAATGGCATACAGTCCTTAAAAATATAATGAGAAATTAGAAAGTCCCCACTCAACGGTTAAAAACCAACAACTGGTATTATATTATGGATTGTAAATAATATTATGTTGCCATGAATTCGTAGATATATTTTGTCGTTTACTATTTTAATATGCAGTTGACTTAAATATAAAAATGTTTGATTTTAAGGTTATGTTTGTACGACTATTATTTTTGTTAGATTTCTTAAAAATGTCCAAACTTAAATATAAATTTTATTGGGTAAAGTTATCATAAGTTAATTCTGCACCAACAAATAAATTGGATCCCTTGACAAAACATGAAAATGCAACGATTTAGTTCTTGAATTACGTTTCCAATTAAAAGCATTGAGTTTCTATGTAAGAAATAATAAATCGAAATCGAGTAATAAACCAAAGTTTTGCAGTTTTTATTGCAACCCAAAACACAAATAACGTGCGCGATTTAGCTGTGCAATTGAAACTTTGCGGACAAAATTTTTCGAGTAGGACATTACTTTTCAATTTTATTTTAACAAAACCTTTGATTTATTCTGCGTTTTATTAATTTACAGAAATTGTACTTAAAACCAAAAACGATTTATATTTTTTTTCAGTGTCTTAAATAGAAGTCCTGAGCACCTTATCAAAGAAATTATTTTGGTTGATGACTTTAGTGATAACCGTAAGTACAAACTAAATTATTTTTGTTTTTTCAGTAAAAACCTGTAAAATTGCTTCTAATATTAACATATGGGTAATTCTCCCCAAATTAATATTTGTCACCAAAAAAATTTAAATATTTTATTGTTTCGATCTTTACTTGAGAAAACTTTATGTTACTAATGTATAACTTTATTAAAAAAATTAACACTGTTTTTTGAGTTTAATTTATTTTAATTTAGTTTTCTCAACACAGTAGATTTTTCAGAAAAAAAACATTTAACGAAAGTAATTTACAATTCAAAGTTGGTAATGCTATTCACTATCCTCTCCCATTTTGGTGGTACCCACAGGACCCTATAGTTAGTTTTGTTATTTCCATCTTTCAGTAGGAAGCATTTTTCAATTTTGTTATATTCTAAAAAAGTCCAATTTATATAAATTTTATTTTAGTTGTTGAATTGTGCTAACAAGAACTCTATTGTTATTTAGAGGTTTTTTGTTACTCAAAGGTAGTTTGTATTTTTTGTTTGCTTTTATCTTGTCTGTCATCAAAGTATGTAGACATTCAGTTTCTGTTTTAATGATTGGAAAATGCAAACAAGCAGACATACTTTGTGTTAAAACGGATAGGTTTTTTTATAAGCAATATTGTTTTGATATACATAATTATTTATGTTTTGGTACCTATTTGAAAGGTATTTTGATTCTCTATTTAAATTAAATTAAGTACAATAAATTTCCAATTAGTCTTCAAATTAGATGTTCGAAATGCTCCCCTTGGACATTTTAACACAAAATTTTTTTTTATCTGAATAAGCTACTGTGTTAGCTAAACAATTGTCAAAACAGTGCTGGTTTTTTATCTAGTTATACATTAAATTTAAATATTTAAAAAAACGTATTTGGAAAATGTTTTTTATCCTTTATTCAAAACATTAAAATAACACAAATAAAATTCACTTTTTTGTATACCTATGTAAATATGAGGCGCCGTTTGCGTCAAAATAGAAGTTTAGAAAATAAATATAATATCTCTCACAAAATATAGAATGTAACTGAAAATGTATAGAAAACACAAAATAGATATATAAAATATAATAAAACAAATAAAATCCAACAAAACATATAGTACACCTGTAACAAAACATATAAAACATAACGAAAAAAATAAAATCCAACAAAATATAGAAAATCAAACAAAACATATAATAGCCAACAAAATATTAAAACTCGGGTTCGTCACTTAACCGTTTGAGGGCGCTCGACGCACAAGTTTCAAAAAGACTAATATTAGGAGATTTTTCGCCAATGCGGTAAGTTTTTAAGGTTTTCTTTAAATCCATTCCTTTTTTATTTTAATTTATAACTTTAATTGGAAACGATGGAGTTAAATCTGCCAAGGATGGATGAAGTTACTACATTTTTCAGGTATTTGATGCATGACTTCGCTGAAGGGGTTCTATTAGTCTTCTTGAAACTTGTGCGTCGAGCGCCCTCAAACGGTGAAGTGTGGAACCCGAGTTTTAATATTTTGTTGGCTTTTATATGTTTTGTTTAATTTTATTTGTTTTGTTATATTTTATGTTTTGTTATGAGTCAAGCCACGTCAAGTGGGACCAGAAAATTTCACGAAATCACCGATTTTAAAAATAATCACATTATTGTGTAGTAGGCATGACGCATATGTCACAGTAAAAAAATTGTTTCGAAATTCGCTTTTTTAGTAATGTTATTAAAGTTAATAATTTTGTCAAACTTTAGAGCATGGTAAAATTGAAAAAATAGAATCTCTGGGACCACTCTGTATAATTGAATTAAATTTTACACACTATTGTAGCAATGTTTAGACTATTGAATGATCATTTAATTAAGGTAAATTTGTTTAAATAAAAGAATTTTGAATACATTTATTATAAACAATTGAAATTTTTTATGTGTTCTTCACGCTGAAAAAAAATTAATCTTGTGTCATAACGCACACCGGGACAAAAAATTTAATATCTCCGGAATAAGATATAAAGAACACATTTTATTAAACGTGAATGTTTGCCGCATATTATGACACAAGATTAATTTTTTTTCAGCGTGAAGACATTTCAATTGTTTATAATAAATGTAAGCAAAATTCTTGTATTTAAACAAATTTACCTTAATTAAATGACAATTCTATAGTCTAAACATTGCTACAATAGTGTAATTCAATTATACAGAGTGGTCCAAGAGATTCTATTTTTTTAAATTTTACCGTGCTCTTATGTTTGACAAAATTATTAACTTAAATAACATTAACAAAAAACTGAATTTCAAAACAATTTTTTTACTGTGACGTATGGGTCATGCCTACTACACAATTATGTGATTATTTTCAAAATCGGTGATTTCGTGAAATTTTCTGGTCCCACTTGACGTGGCTTGACTCTTATATTTTATATACCTATTCTCTGTTTTCTATGCATTTTCTGTTAAATTATATATTTTGTGAGAGATATTATATTTATTTTCTACACTTCTATTTTGACGCAAACGGCCCTCATAATGCAAACCTCTATTTTTAAAATTCAAATGGCTCTTTTAGCACCAAATCATTTTTAGATATCCCTGCTTTTTATCCCCCAACTAATCCCTTTGCCGGCAAAAACCGTCCGCAACATCCCACTTCTGACACTTTTAGGATTTAAGTTTGCTTCATGCTTTTTTGTTTGCCGCAGCCGCCGACGGCGAGGAGCTGGCCAAGATCCAAAAAGTTCGCGTGCTACGCAACGAGCAGCGCGAAGGGCTGATGAGGTCGAGAGTTCGCGGGGCTGACGCTGCCGCCGCCACTGTGCTGACCTTCCTGGACAGCCACTGCGAGTGCAACGCCAACTGGCTCGAGCCGCTCCTGGAGCGGGTGGCCGAGGTTTGTGACTCAGTTCTTTGCCATTGAGTCATTCCAAATAAAAACACCGCTGCTTGATTTTTTATTTTGATAAAAAAAATTGAGGATGATCTTTTAGGTATCAAATATGAAAATCCGTTGCCGTTTTAATTTTTGGATTCTTTATTTTTAATCGGCACCCTTTATAAATCTGAAATCGTGTCAATTTCTTACTCTCTTATAGTGGGCCAGAACTTTTTTTTTTGTGACAAATATTGAAATGATTTTAATTTTGTTTTACTGTTCAGTAAGTGTGTTTTCGATATAAGTTATTATTATCCAATTAGTTAATCTCATAAAAGAATGGTAAACCACTAAAGATTCATGATAATTTGTCAATTTTTGTGATTTTTGTCTGGCTCCTGTGCCTATTCTACTAAATTTAGAAAGTTATTTTTTTTCAGGTATCAAATACTTCTTTAAATTTTGTAGGTAACTGGTTAAAATAAAACATGTTATAATAAAGGGGTTTATTTAGAATATTTTTTGGTTTTTGCTTATTTTTAACAATTTAAAACTTCTCAGAACTTGAATATTTTCTATGAGAAAGAAGTAGAAAATTATGATATGTTCTTGCATTTTTAATTGCAATTAAATTCATGAATCTCGAACACTCCGTCATTTATTACACTTGTACACTTGCAAATTTTTTGAAATCACAATTTAAATACGCACAAATAATATTTATGAAATATTTTTGACAGTTCTCTACCAAACATGAAAAATTCAAAGCTATCTAAATTTTAAATTATAAATAAAACTAACAATATCGCTACTTAACTGCATTAAAAAAATTATTATATCTTTTACATGCATGGATAAAAATAATAAAACAAGACTAACTAGACTGAAAAGATGAAGGTGAAAGTTTCAGATTTTTATTTTTTCCTCAACATAATGATTTTTGAGGGCAAAATTAGCTAATTTTGAAAATTATCAAGTTTCAATAATTTTTTTAATAAAGAAAATGATAGTCTAGGAACTTAAAATAATAGTTACGTTTTCTATTGTATAAGTACTTGATACCTGAAAAAAAGCAACTCTAGATTTAGCAGATTAGGCACAGGAGCAGGACAAAAATCACAAAAATTGGCAAATTATTACAAATCTTTAGTGGTTTACCATTTTTTTATGAGATGAATTAATTAGATAATAATAATTAATATTGAAAACATACTTACTAGGCAGTAAAATAAAATAACAATCATTTCAATAATTGCCACAGAATTTCAGGTTTCTATATTGTGCCGATTAAAAATAAAGCTACTAAAAATTAAAACGGCAACGGTTTTCATATATGATATCTAAAAGATCATCCTCAAATTTTTTCATTAAAATAAAAAATCATGCAGCGCACTTTTAAATTCATTTTTGGTGTTTTCATTTGGATTGACTCCATTGCCAGGTAAATTTTAAAAGTACAAAGTGAGGTTAGATCGATTCAAAAGAAATCGATTTTTTTATGGTCCAAAGTAGTAAATGATTGGTCTAAATCGTTTATAAGTTCCACGAATAGTAAGTAGTGTTGACAACAATAAAATTAAAATTATAGACCGATTAATTAAAGATATTGGGGTTAGGGTTTTAAAGTTTAAAACCGGAAAAATTTGAAAAAAAACTGTTTTTTTCGTTTTTTCCCAGGCCTTTGAAAAATTGTTTTTTTTTTTGGGATAAATTGGTAATCAACAATCTAATACTCTTTTAATTAAAAAAATATCCTTACAGAAAAAAATAAACATTGAATTAAATTAAATTGATTTAAGAAAATAAATGTTAACATTAAATATACTATCGGTTGGGTCTTTTTTGCAAAAAGGAGTCCATTGAAAATATCCAATTACAAAATAATGAAAGATTTACATAGTTAAATTACAAAATTATAATAATCAAATAAAACTAAAGTTATGTTATGTTATGCAGAATATTATAACTGAATTAAAATTTTTCAGAATAATTGACTTTGCGTTTTTTCGAATTACCCTTTGAATAAAATAAAAAAAAAATGCCAAAGTCAATGATTCTGAAAATTATCCAATATTACATTTTTTTCGGAAAAACGGTTTTTTTCTTCCGGCTCAATTTTTTCGGAAATTTTAAAACTCTAATTGGGGTAAAACTTTTGCTAACTTGATTAAAATATATTGAAATTCAATAAAAAAAAGTAAAAAATTAAACTTGTAGTTTTTAAATCGAATACTTAATAATTACTAAAAATCAGGACTTCACAACAAGAGTTAAAAAAGTAGAAGGAAATCGAATGGTTATCAAACAAAAAGCTCGTTAACACTTCAAAGGGCAAAAAGTTTGTCAATAAACTGCATTAAAGTTAAAAGAGAAAAGTCGAGAGTTCTGACTTCAAAGAAAAAAGTCAAGAAAATAATTTTTGTATTGAGTTGGTTTTTTGCACTACCTTTTGGCTTATTCTCGAATATAGTTTCAAACAATAAAATATTAAAATTTACCACTGTATTATTAGTAGGGTTTTAAAATTTCCGAAAAAATTGAGCAATCAGAAAAAAAACGAAAAAATTTGGAAATTTTTAGAATAATTGACTTTTGCATTTTTTACATTGTTCATAGGGTAACACGAACAAAATGCAAAAGTAATTTTTCCTGATTATAATCATAATATTATTATTATAATAATTATTCCTTTTATTTTATCTAATTCAGTAAGAATATTCTACCGGGCCGCAAAAAATGCACTAAGATAAAAAAATTCGTTTTATTGGACACTTTGATTTATAATTATGAAATTTAACTTTACGTTTATTAAATCTATTTAATTTAATTTTTTTTCTGTAATAAAAGATATTTTTTAAAATTAAAATATCGTAAAGTTGTTGATTGATACTTTTTCAAAAGTGTATATTTTCAAAAAAAATAATTTTTCCCAAAAAGGCAATTTTTCCAAAGAAAAACAGTTTTTTTCCAATTATTCCAGTTTTTCTGACACTTTAAAACCCTAATTATTAGTAATAATTTATTACAAACTGATTGATTTGACACATAAAAGGCATATTACGTACATATACCAAAGTTATTGCTGGAAAACTTATTTTTAGAATTTAATCAAATTTCTCATGCATATAAAACTTATTCTTTGTGTGTTCGCAGGATCCCACCAGGGTGGTGTGTCCCGTCATCGACGTCATCAGTATGGACACGTTTCAATATATCGGAGCCTCTGCAGACCTTAGGGGCGGGTTCGACTGGAATCTCGTATTCAAGTGGGAATACCTGAGTTATGCAGAACGAGAGACCAGACAAAGGGACCCCACTCAAGTAAGTGTGCCATGACGGAAATGTTTTAGAAAAAGTTGAAATAAATTTAGGTTTTCTGTTGAAATAGAATCTATTTAATTAGTTAAAAGATAAAATCCACCAAAAAAAGTCATAAGATTGTTTTAAAATAAAATAATAATTAAATGACAAATTTATCAAAAATGGCGAATGCGCCGGGATTATAAAAGGTGCCTAACAAAATACTACGATATAACTAAATTAATAACCAAAATACAGGTTGTTTAAGTTGAAAGTTTGTTTTTAATTTATTAAATAAATAATATAATAAATAAATTTGGAAAAAACGAACTTTTTTACACAAAATTTGATTTTGAGGGGGTAAATTTCTTGAACAAATTAATTTCTGCGACGTTTGAATGATTATCTTTTTTGGGTCTTAGTGTAATGTTTTAATAAAATATTATTTTTTAATTTTATTGCGTGAAAATATATAACTATTTTTGAGATATTTGCATTAAACGTATACAACGTGTGTATACAACGTGACAACCTACATTAACTTTATTAAGAAATTTAAATTTCCCGGACCGAAAAATCCACAAAAATCAAATTTTGTTAGTTAATAAAATCGAAAACAAACTTTTAAATTTGCTACCCTTCTTTTGTATTAAAGTAAATTTAGTTATTTTGCATTGTTTTGGTATAAATTTAACTCTTTTAAATAAAATATAATATAGGTATGTCATATTTATTTTGATGGTTTTCAATTTTTTAATCTTTTTTAAGAATAACATTTTTTTACCAGAGAAATTGACAAAATATCAGTTTTATTTTATTCTTATAGTTTTTTTAATTTTTTCTGATTTTTACTGCTATTTTTTGACGTTTTTATAAACCAATAGAAACTTTCAATTTTAGTCATCTGTGTACGTTTTAGCCAATCAAAACATTATTATAGTGGAAAAATCTACTTGCATTATATTTTTTGACATTTATGTTTATTGTTAAGGCAGTGTTGGGGATTGTTAAATAATCCACACAAGAGATTGATACATTAAAAATAAGATCTTTTTTCAAAGCTGTTGTCATTTAGCAATAGACACTCGAGCTCTACAGGCTCTTGTGTCTATTTTATAACAACAGGTTTTCAAAAATCTGTCGAATTATTTTAATTTATTTTCACCCTCTTGTGATATAACTACTGAAAACATTTTTTTACCAAGCGTTTTAAGTTTTTTTATTCCTTCTTAATAAATATAAAAAAACTTTTTTTATTACATTTTCTTATTGTATTTAATGGAAACAAGTTTTTTAGATTGATTTTATTTATTATAAAACTATAAAACATAATATTTTAAAATTAACATTTGCAAAAAGTTGATGTAATTAGCTACAACTCAAAAATCGGGAAAATAACCATTATTTTAAATAGGTATACCCAAAGATATTTATTCAAAAACATATTTAATCATTTTAATAAATTATTGAAAATATGTCGGGGATAGATTATAAATTATAATATATTTTAGAAATTTGTCACCTCAAAATATTAAATATCTGGATTTTATATGTTAGATTTATGTATGAAAATTATTCATAATATACGAAAAGTTACACTGCTTCGTTAGCATAGAAATTCCATTTTAATATTATCCGTTTTTATTTTTCGACCAAATTATGCAAATTTAAGTCTAGGTTATCCTCATAATAAAAATTACATTTTCATCAACACATTAAAATGAAATATTTTTTATTCCAGTCTATCAGGACGCCTATGATAGCTGGGGGTCTGTTTGTGATAGACAAAGCCTACTTTGCAAAACTAGGTAAATACGACATGAAAATGGACGTTTGGGGTGGAGAAAATTTGGAGATTTCGTTCAGAGTTTGGCAGTGTGGAGGCAGCTTGGAAATAATACCATGTAGCCGAGTAAATAAATTACGATTTTACAGTAACTTTATATTTTTTAATTATATCGTTTCTTTAGGTTGGTCATGTGTTTAGGAAACGACATCCGTATACTTTCCCAGGCGGTAGTGGGAATGTTTTCGCCAAAAATACCAGAAGAGCTGCTGAAGTCTGGATGGACGACTACAAAAATTTCTATTACGCTTCTGTGCCCCTCGCCAAAAACGTTCCTTTTGGAGAGTAAGTGATTTTTTTAGACATACACTCACAGGCAAAATAATCGATCCACACAAATTTTCGATGAATTTCAATCGCAAATAACTTTTTTATTTGATGTCGGATTTAAACGAATATTAAAGAATATTGTAGATAAATTAATGTAAAATCGCTCACATTTTAAAAATTTACCAAAAAATAGATGTACGTTCATAATATACAGGTTTAAACAAAAAGATGTTTTTCACCATAAGTTTAAGACACTCTGTAGAGTGGCAAAACCGTATATTGTTCTAAATTAAGTTTTATTTGTCAAGTCACATCTATTCTTAACAGTTTTGTTTTTGGTTCACCTCGATATATTTATTTTTGTGGAAAATATGGATGGATTTTTAAAAAAAATATTGCAATTTCCAATATTTTTTGTGTATGAAGAACTAAGGTTGCTATGGTCCATCCATAGGCTATGGAGGATGACAGTAACAGTTTTGAATCATCCCACTTGGACATGTCATACACGGCTTTCAAAAGCTATCAAATTGTTTTTTGCAAAGTAATGTTTAAATTTTAAGGTGTCTTCTTACTTTAAAAAATGGATATGTCTCAGACTGATGTTGCCAGAGCCATTAATTTAATCCAGGATGGACGGTCACAGTATTACGAGGCGAGTGTTTTAAACGTCACAAGAAGTAAAGTACAAAGGGCAACATCAGTCGGAGACATTTTTAAAAGTAAGAACACACCTCAAAATTAACACATTAATTTACAAAAAACAATTTGATAGCTTTTGAAAGCTGTATATGAAATGTCCAAGTATGGGATGATTCAACAAAACTGTCACTGTCATCCTCCATGGGCTATGGATGGACCATAGCAACCTTAGTTCTTTATACAGGAAAAATATTGAAAATTGCAATGTTTTATTTAAATCCATATTTTCCACAAAAATAAATATATCAAGGTGAACCAAAAACAAAACTGTTAAAAATAGATGTGACTTGATAATTAAAACTTAATTTTGAACAATGTACGGTTTTGCCACTCTACAGAGTGTCTTAAACTTATGGTAAATAACATCTTTTTGTTTAAACCTGTATATTTTAAACGTACGTCTGTTTTTTAGGAATTTTTTAAAATGTGAGCGATTCTCCATAAATGTATCTACAATATTCTTTAATATTTGTTTAAATCCGAAATCAAATAAAAAAGTTATTTGCGATTGAAATTCATCGAAAATTTGTGTGGATCGATTATTTTGCCCGTGAGTGTATTATTTTTAAACTAACATTAACATTTTTTTAGCATATCCGAAAGACTGGAGCTGAAAGAAAGACTGAAGTGCAAACCGTTCAAGTGGTACCTGCAAAACGTCTACCCGGAACTAACCATCCCCCACTCAACGTCCTCGCAAACTGGGGAGCTGAAACAAGGGGTCTACTGCTTGGACACCATGGGGCACCTGATAGACGGCAACGTCGCTTTATACCAGTGCCACCACACGGGCGGGAATCAAGAGTGGAGTTTCACAGGTTCCGGATTGATAAAACACCACGATCTTTGTCTGAGCCTTGTCAACTTCATGAAGGGCTCGCAGGTGGTAATGAGGGTTTGCGACGGTTCCGAGAACCAAAAGTGGCACATCATCGAACCTGGCGGCCTTCTGAGGCACTCCAGGTACCCTCTATGCCTGGATTCGAGGTACACCGACGTTAAAGGTATTACGGCGGAAAGGTGCAATAGTCAGCTCGAAACGCAGAGGTGGCAACTCAGCAAGAAGTCCTAAAGTCCTAGAAAATGGAATGCCAACAATTCGTTGATTTGAAAACGGTTTTGTGTCAAGTATTTTTAATTTTGGGAAGTCTTCCCTAGTCAATTTATCAAATTGTTTTAATACGTACTGTTTTTTATCTTTAATCATTGTAAGACAAATACAAAAATAATAATAAGAAAAAAAAATGTTGACAAGTAGAAAACGAAAGGTAAGTACAATTTTCAGAATTTATAAAACTTTTTAATTTAAATTTTTGCCTTTAAAATACAAAATTTTATATAAAGTTTTAAAGTTTCGAAAAAACGGAAGAATTAGGGGAAAAGACTGTTTTTTTCCCAGGACCTGGAAAAATTGTATTTTTTGTGAAAAATTGATTTTTTATACAAAGCAATTTAACTTAACATAATTTTAATATAAAAAAAAATATTCCTACTAAATTATAATAATAGGAATAATTACACTAATTTACAGCCATTTTGCCCACGTCTCACTATGATTTTCTTCATTTTTCAATTGTTTTATTTTTAATTTTCTGAGGTGTTTTGACTTTTTAGAGTATACTTCGAGTTCTAATGCATCGATTTGACCAAACAAGCACTTAAATCAAAGGTAATTGAGCCATCTATAACTTTCTTTTGTATAGTTTTGGTATCGGCTCGGTAGTTCGATACTGGCGATTTTATGAAGTTGAAAAAGTCCTTTTTTTTACAAAAATCGAGGTCGAAAATTTACATATCTTTCTGGGAAAGATATAAATCGAAAATTTAATTCCAGTTTGATTTATTTTACGTATAGATTATACTTAAAGAAAAAAATAAGCTGTTGTTTATAAAAATCCATGGATAAATGGCGAAGTTATGAATTTTTCAGTACAAGACCAGTGGAAGAATTTTGACGTTTTTTCTTCATTTTATTGAATTATATAAAATTCAATATTGAACATTGATTTTTATTTTAAACAATAAATATTAAAATTAAATTATATATTGAATATTAAACAATAAATATTGAACTTCAAAGAAATTGAAAGTTTTATTTTGTTGTAATAAGCAAAAATTCTGGCTCCGTACGTAAAAAGTACGTAAAAAACTCAAAAAATTCTAATCATGCACTTTATTTAGGTTTTCATTATAGAATACACATATTACAAAATAAAATAAAAAAAAATAAAATAAAAACGTCAAAAAGCTAAATTTTGGTCTTCAACTAAAAAATTCATAACTTCGCCATTTTTCATGTATTTTTATCAACATTACCTTGTTTTTTTTTGTAAAAATGAAAGTTTCACGAAAAAAAATCAAACTCGACCTCAATTTTTGCCATAAAAACGATTTTTTTAAGTTATTAAAATTGCTAGCGTCAAAATACTTATGCGATATCAAAAGTATGTAAAAGAAAGTTTTAGAGAGCTCAAATATCTTCAATTTAAGGGCTTGTTCGACAAAATCTATCAGTTCGATTTCAAGCTATACTTAAAAACGTCAAAACACCTCCGAAAATTGAAAATTCATTTTTCAAAAACGCTTCCATAAACAAAATTGAGTGTGATTTTCGTGTTTATTGGGTAAAAATACATGGGAAAATTATAATGGGATATGGTGGGCAGATTTTTTTTTCGATTTTGTAAACTAGTGTAATAATTATTATAATCATGTATTATATGATTATTATCAGAGTAGAAAATTCACTTTTTTCTGGATATCAGTGTACAGATATTTGAAAATTTCAGCAAAATTGTCTTTTTAATTTTTTTTGAATTACCCTTTAAAATAAAATTTTTCTGAAAATTTTCCAATTTTTCAATTTTTTACCGAAAAAAACTTTTTTGGCTGGCTTAATTTTTCCGGAATTTTTAAAACCCTAATTTTTGGAGAGTTTCAACTTATTCCCTTTAAATTTCATTATTTTTTTTAATATTTAGGTTACCACTAAAACCAAAACAATTTTTTTTTTTACTTTTTAGAAATAAAAATGTTGCCAAAGTAATACGAAATATTAGCGCACATTGTTTAAAATTATCACTTTGTTACATTGGCAACATTGCAGTCCTCTTATAAGATCTCCAGGCAACTTTTTACAAATTATAGTTACATGCATAATATTTAAACTTAAAAAAGGGTATTTTTTTATTTTTGCAAAATATTTGTTTAGATTTTATCAACGATAAAAATTCCAAAATTTTGAAAAAACAATTGTATATTTTATGGGGAGCAAAGTGACAATTTAGCTCCTTATAAAATAATATTAATTTTAACTCTACAATATTTTTACAGCTAGTAAAAAAATACCTACCTGTAAACTCATAAGCAGCTAAAAACTCAAAATATATTTAGAGATGCTTATCCTAAATAAAATACTCATTGGCCAGTGAGGATGTAAATTTTTTAATGTTTGTGATATTTTTTATGTATTTTATAAGTTACATTCACATATTTTAGTATAGAGAGCGATCGCGTCAAGAAATAGTTTTTTCGTTTAATTCAAATAAACTTAATAAATCAAGTTCACAAAGCGGGTACATTTATAGCAATCCCAATGTAAAATTTTTGCCGCGAAGTGATGATTTTTAGTCTAGAATTTATACACGCAGATAAATAAATAATAAACTCAAAAAGGGTAAAAAAATATATGACCGCTGTTTTATTCAGATTTTGCTTACGCTTGTTTTGGAAACAAATTATATTTATTAATTATTTTTTAACGGGATTTATTCCAAAGCTAAAGCCTATTATATAATAATAGCTATAGAACATAGTACCTTTATTATTTTTATTGCTATATTTTTTGTAGACAATAACAATATTTATATAAAGACTTCCATTTATAAATTCGTTTTTTGTTATATAGGTATATATATTTTTTTGTATATAGGTTTTTGTACTTAATAGAAATATTTGTATATATAGATGTGTAAAGTTTTGTATTATAATTTGAAAATAAACATATATGAATAAATAGTTTATTCTTTACAACCAATATAGACCAGGGTCGATAATTTTTGAAACCAAAAAAATAACAGTAGGATGAAACCCATTGGAAAAGGAGAAGAATATAATAAAAATGAAAGGAAAAATAAATTACGGGCGATCTGACTTCGGGAAGTGGGAGGGGGGGGTTTAAGGGTAAAAAATGGTTTATCTCGATTTCCGGCAAAACTACAAGTCCTATGGAAAAAAGTTAAATGGCAAAGTTGTAGGTAATAAAAGGATCTACAACTTTTGTAATTACAATTTTTTTACATAACCTCAAAATGTATGTGAAAAATTCAAAAAACCAAGTTTTTGGTTTTTTATTTTTATCTTTTTCAAAAAAAAAATTTTTTTCACGAAATTTGGTGAAAACTTACCTTTTTATGTCCCAAATACACTGTAATTTATTTGATTTGAAATATTTATTATTTCGCCTTATTTTGACTTTTTTACACCATCAGAAAGTAGAGATTTCAACGAACAAAAAGCACACCGACTTTTTGAAAAAAGCTGATATTTTGACGCGAGAATTTTTGATTGAAAATTAGGGTGCTTTTTTGATATTAAGTCAAAATAAGGCGAAATAATAAATATTTCAAATCAAATAAATTACAGTGTATTTGGGACATAAAAAGGTAAGTTTTCACCAAATTTCGTGGAAAAAAATTATTTTTTTTGAAAAAGATAAAAATAAAAAACCAAAAACTTGGTTTTTTGAATTTTTCACATAAATTTTGAGGTTATGTGAAAAAATTGTAAATACAAAAGTTGTAGATCTTTTTATTACCTACAACTTTGACATTTAACTTTTTTCCATAGGACTTGTAGTTTTGCCGGAAATCGAGATAAACCATTTTTTACCCTTAAACCCCCCCCTCCCACTTCCCGAACTCAGATCGCCCGTAATTTATTTTTCCTTTAATTTTTATTATATTCCCCTCCTTTTCCAATGGGTTTCATCCTACTGTTATTTTTTTTCTCTTTTTACCATTTTTAAAGGCTTCTGCACTGGTCTAATAACAATTTTAAAAATTATTTGTACTCAGACAAAATTTTGTCAGCAATCTTCAGCCCTATCATAGCTGTGGGTCCATTAGTATGCCCAGAAATGGTTTTGGGAATCACACCTGCATCCACAACCCTCAACTTTTTTACCCCGTGGACTTTTAAATCGCTTGCGACCACTGACGTTTTAGGGTCCTTTCCCATCCTTGTGGTTCCCACAGGATGATATATCGATAATGTCATTTGTCTGATGACGCAATACCAGTAACTTTGTGACGACATTTCGTGCTCAGTGCAGATCGTGTCGGGTTTAATCAAGGTCGCATTTATTCGCCTCATAGGGGAGGTTTGCAGAAGGTCTTCCAAGTATTTAAGGCCTAAATACAGTGTGTGGATGTCCGCGTTGTTTTTATCCGACAGCATGTTTAGGTGGACGTTTGGGAAGTCTTTGGGGTATTTTGATTTCAGCGTTACCGCACCTTTAGACTGTGGGTGTAGCAAAACAACGTACACACCAATCGCGTTTTCTCGCGATGATTTTTCGAAAAATTTGTTTAGTTTTGTGTCGGTGTTAAACGCAAAACTATTAACTCCCCCGAAGGGTGTTGTGGGTTGTATAAGAAGCTCAATATCAGGAATGGTATTATTCTTTTTTTTCACCTGAACAAACGCTATAGTCTCACTTGGTAAAGCTTCTGTTAGGGGTTTTGATCCCTTCACATACATCTGTAAACTTTCTGTTAAATTCGGCGACGGTTCTGTTATGTTGGTGCCAATATAGACCCCAACCAAACCAGCATGATCCTGTAAATTTCGGCCGACAGGTAAATTTTTAACCACTTTAATGCCATGTTTTTGTAGCTCTCCACGTGGTCCTATGCCAGACAACATCAAAATTTGCGGGGTGTTTATCGATCCAGCTGAGAGTATCACTTCTTTTCTCGCGAAGGCTCTATAAGTCGCATTGTTTTTAACAAAGTAAACCCCCCTTGCTACTGCATCTTCCAAAATTAATTTTGTGACAATGGAACCCTTGGAAATACATAGATTACCAGTGGTATTTCTTAAATACGCTTTGGCCAAACTAACTCTTTTATTAAAGTCCACATTAGTCACGCTCCTAGAAAAACCCAACTGACTGTTTCCATTATAATCAACCTCGTGTAGGTTTCGTTCGTACAAAGCCCTATGAATGTAGGGAAACTTATTAGAGTCCGGTAAAGTAATATTGCAGTTAAGATCGCCGTTAAAACCATGGTAACGCAAGTCTCCATAGGTTTGCCATTTTTCAAGCTCCATAAAATACGGCAGGACCTCATTTTGCCCCCACCCCAAATTACCCATTTTAACCCAGTCGTCATAGTCTTCTCTATTGCCTCTGGTGTACACCAGACCGTTTATAGTGCTGCTTCCACCCATTACTTTACCCCTCGGGTAGTTGCATTGACGTTTTATCATTCCTATTTAAATTGATATTTTTGATGTGGACATTAAGTTTATTATTAGTACATACCAAGGCAAGCCGTGCTTTGAGGCGTTGTGTAATACCCCCAGTTCATTCTGGAGTTGTATAAATAGAGGGAGGCACCTGGTATATCGCTAAAGCTCGTTTCATCGCCTCCAGCTTCCAGTAGAAGAATGTGCCACTTTTTAATTTTTGATAATTTTTTAGATAGAGCACTGCCAGCTGTGCCTGCTCCTACTATTATAAAGTCGAAATTTCCATATTCTATAGAACAATATTTATAAATTTTGTTCTTAAAATTGTTTTATTTATAATATCTTACCAATAATTTTATTGCTTGTAATTTTAACTAATTCTTCATTATATAAAGGTAATTGATATTTTGTGAAGGCATTTTGGTTTTCAATCATAACATTTTCGAGGTATTCAATATTATTCTCCAAATAAATTTTGCCAAAAATCGTAAAAAACACACATAATTTTAGTAAGGCGCACATTTTTCAAATAACATTGTGTATCACTAATTAGGCTTAAAAATGTTGCTATATAATATATGTAAATATACATAAAGTTAGTAGATACCTATGCATAAACATTTGTTTTATGAATAGGATTAGGTTTTTATCTATTGCTTCTAGAAAATACAAATTCGTTATTTTAATTTTTTTAGCCTTGTTTATTTGTTTAAAAAACTTTAAACTATTAATGTTAATTGTTTTTTTATCCAATTATACATTAGTGACATGGAGTTTTATCAAGTAAAGGTCCAAACCACGGTCTTATAAACAGCTACCTAGGTCTTGCAACTTCGCCCAATTTCAATAGGAAAAGTGACCTCTCTAATGAGACACCCACCAGATGGCGCATCGAGTTGAGGGTGAACCATAGATGTTTAAAGGTCGTTTTTACCTTCTTTATCTTTGGGTTTTACAATCGTTAGATAAGCTCTCTGGTGGATAATTTTCTTAGATAGAAGATTTCTATGAAAGTTATCCGCCAAATAAGCTAACTTAATCTAACGATTGTAAAACCGGCTCTAAGTCCTTAAAGTCTATGGGATAAAAGGTCAAATGAACTACCTACTTATGTTCTGTGTTAAGAAACATAACCTACATTTTTATAAACAAGCTTGTGTATTTTGTTACAGGGAGTTTTTACTTATTAATTAGATTAAAATAGATTAAAATAGCTGACAGTTTGGCTAGTTTATAAACTACCCAGCTACTTTATAAACTATCCATGTTTACACATTAGCCGTAACATATATTATGATATACGTATGTATTTTATACATTAACATGTTTTACTTACATGTTTGGTCTGGGCATGTGACGGCCGAGGACTTTGTGCATAGAGTATAGACTTTGTTGTCCTATTTTGTTAACGTAAATTATCCGAAACAAACTCACAAATATTAAAGTTTTGAAAATGTAAACAAAACATTGAAAAAGAATTTAAAAAGTTAGGTTATGGTTATGCAGTAGTTCCACATTTAACTAAGTAGTTCATTTAATTGACTTCACCCTTCGATCTTAGCGCCACCTAGCGGCTTGGCACGTTAAGGAAGCCACCTCGAAGCTTAAAGTTGCAAGACCTGTATATAAGACCGTGGTCGAAACAATAAAATCATAGAAATAATACTAATAATAATAGTATTATTTCTATGCCTAATTTCGTTTGTTTAAATTAAAGTATTTTATTATTATTTCTATGAATAAAATACTTTTATCTATTTTGGTTTCATAATGACTTCATTATAACACCGCTTTTGGTTCTTTAATGAGGTACTTTATTCCACCCAAAATTTTGATTTTATAGGTTGGCTACTGGTAAAATACAATTTTGAATACCTATAGGTTATAATATTTTTATGACTTGTTTTCTACTACTTACGAGACTTTTCGTGCAATAAATTTTGTTTAACACCAAAGAAAATCCTTTTTTCTTCTTTAACAGCCGCTTATTGTAAATACTTATTATAAATTAACAACGCCATAGCGAAAGAATGTGATAATGTTTGAAAGGTTAATGACCTTTCAAAATTCAAACTGAGATACCAACTATGTAAAGTAAAATTCTACAAAATTAAATATAAGGTATAAAATTAATTTGTTTTATGAAATGTTTGCAAAATAGATAAAATAGCATAAAGAACTCATGTCATAAGACCTTTTGTCGCACTTGTCCATTATAAAACTCGCTCCTTCGTCGCTCGTTTTATAAATTGTCCGCGTGCGACAAAACGACGTCTTATGACATTAGTTCTTTAATATACTATAATTTATACAAACGAAATTAGGCAACCCAATTTACACGTCGATGTAATCTGGGTTGCGTTATGAATTTTTTATATACTTATAGAAAAGTTGGGTTAAATCATCAAAGTTTGATCCCAGGAATGTTTATTTAAGATACTTTGTATATAAACCTAGTTTTACTTGTATTAGTTACATTACATTACATTCTGATATCTTTTATCACACATTATCACATTTCCACAACATACTCTCTTCATTTTGAATGCGCCCTAGTTTTTGTAACTAAATTGCTTACAATATCATCGTTGGTCACCCAATCGGGCATTGCAGCAACTGGTAAAGTAATTCCTTTCATCAATTGTTTAATTTCATCGATTTTGTTATCGTCTAGAGGAATATCACTTGAACTTGCTTCCGTCCAAACTTCTCTCACCAATGTGGTCTCAATCGGTTCTATGGGTGGAAAATTCGGGTCGTTGGAGTTGTTGGCGTTATTTTCTTGAACAACTACAAAGAATTTAAACAAAACAAATTGTTATTTTGGTGTGAATGGATAAAAATACCTGGATCGCTAGCCTCTTCATCACTGTCAGTTATTACGTTGTCCTCCTCGAAATCCTGCATTCCCAGAGGTTCATAACCATTATAAACCTCCTCATCGTTGTCGTCTGCTTCGTTAAAATTCGCTGCATCCACATAATTTGGAAGATTTTCTGTATTATCCGGGTCCGGCGATCCTTTATTGAAATTAACCATTTTTAGGTGCAAAATTAGGCTTCCAAATAACTTTGTACGTCAAAAATAATATATGTAGTATTAGAGCAAACTGCAATTTACCGCAAAATGTTATTGATTTTGTTGAAGAAACGTCAAAAACTTTGTTTAGGGTTATGTTGTTATTTGTAATTAATATATGGTTGTACAGATGGCGCTGACGTTAAATTTTGGAAATAACGAGCCAGGATTGGCTTAAATTTAAAAAACTGTCAAATGACAAAAATGGTTTAATGTTCTGTGTAAAAGACTATTATTATAATAGTGTTGTTTTGAATAATTCTAAGTAGATATACTTGTATAAACACCTTCAGACTTTATGATAAGCATTGATTCTTCACTCAACGATGATAAGGCAACAATAAAAGTGTATATATAATACAGGTATGTACAATTAAATAAGTTTTAAGTTGTTATAAAACAATACTTCTATTTAAATAGAGATCTTAAACAACATGTCGCCAAAATGAACTTTAATTCGGAAAATTTTGTGATTTAGGGTAGTTTCAAGCAAGTGGCTAGTTCAATATTTCTGCGCCCTATTAAACTACGATCATAGAACGGAAACTCTCGCAAACTTTAATGTTTTCATTATCGAGAATTTAAAAGCCCTTGTAATGGAGATTTAGTGTGCAATTTAACTAACTAATGTCAACACATTCAGTTTAATTTAACGGGTGTACATCATAGATGTACAGGGCAAACAGTTTAAAGATTAATTAGACAATAATATCAAACAGTTTAAAGATTAATTAGACAATAATATTAAAGTGTTTTTTCTATTTTAAAACGTCCGAAACTAAAAGTTGCTTCTAACGGAAGTGATTGACGAATCAGAGCTCTGCATTCTCTAACGTACACTAGATTGCGATAGAGAATACAGTATTCTGATTGGTTATTTCAAGGATAATGTTTTTTTCGTTAAGATACCCTGTAGTCTATATTCTTGGTCTCAAATAAATGTTTGAAATAGGCCAGATGTAATTTTAGAGCAGGGGTTGGAATCTCTGGAGTATCGGGTATCATTAAGACCGCGAAATACCGTCTTGTAGACCGCACTATTATGCAAGCCCCTCGAGAAAGCTGCAGCTGATAACAAATTTTGAAGGGAACGTGTTTTTAAACCATTTTATTATTTACAAAAATATGGCAAAAAAACTTGACCAAATCGATCAATTTTTAAAAATTGGCCATTGTCTTTGATTTTAATAAAGTATGTCGTACCCTATGTCAAATTTTCCCCGAAATTTGAAAATCGATACCGCTGACTCGATAAATTACCGGCTTGCCCGCAATCTTAAAAAAACTGCTTTGAAAAATCAAAAAATGGCCGTAGCGCCTTTATGGAACGGTTTTTGATAAAACTGCTAGCAGTTTTGGAATCTACGACCTTGATTTAGTATATCTAGACACCCAACAGCCCCCTCAAAAAATCCTGAAAAATTGACAATATGCCTTTTTGGACGTTTTGACAGACGAAAATTTTGGTAAAAAAAAAACAATTTTTGTTATTACCCGGATTAAGTTAACAAAAAGACTCATACCCATGTAAAATTTTCCGTAGAGTTCGATTTCGGCCCCAGATCGGCAATATATTCCAAGGTTTGGGCCCTATCGGCACTTTACTGTTTTTAAACTTAAAACAGCTGTAGCGCCGAAACGGGAGCACTTAGAGCATTTTTGGGCTCAGTTTCGTGATCCACGCAGGCCAATTGATCTAGGGAACGTGTTTTTTAACCATTTTATTTTTTACAAAAATATGGCAAAAAAACTTGACCAAATCGATCAAGTTTCAAAAATTGGTCATGGTCTCTGATTTTAATAAAGTATGTCGTACCTTATGTCAAATTTTCCCCGAAATTTGAAAATCGATACCGCTGACTCGATAAATTACCGGCTCGCCCGCAATCTTAAAAAAACTGCTTTGAAAAATCAAAAAATGGCCGTAGCGCCTTTATGGAAAGGTTTTTGATAAAACTGGTAGCAGTTTTGGAATCTACGACCTTAATTTAGTATATCTAGACACCCAACAGCCCCCTCAAAAAATCCTGAAAAATTGACAAAATGCCTTTTTGGACGTTTTGACAGACAAAAATTTTGGAAAAAAAAAAACAATTTTTGTTATTACCCGGATTAAGTTAACAAAAAGACTCATACCCATGTAAAATTTTCCGTAGAGTTCGATTTCGGCCCTAGATCGGCCCTATATCCCACGGTTTGGGCCCTATCGGCACTTTACTGTTTTAAAACTTAACTGGAGCACTTAGAGCATTTTTGGTCAGTTTCGTGATCCACGCAGGGCAATTGATCTAGGGAACGTGTTTTTAAACCATTTTATTTTTTACAAAATATGGCAAAAAAACTTGACCAAATCGATCAGTTTTCAAAAATTGGACATGGTCTCTGATTTTAATAAAGTATGTCGTACCCTATGTCAAATTTTCCCCGGAACTTGAAAATCGATACCGCTGACTCGATAAATTACCGGCTTGCCCGCAATCTTAAAAAAACTGCTTTGAAAACTCAAAAAATGGCCGTAGCGCCTTTATGGAAAGGTTTTTGATAAAACTGGTAGCAGTTTTGGAATCTACGACCTTAATTTAGTATATCTAGACACCCAACAGCCCCCTCAAAAAATCCTGCAAAAATTGACAATATGCCGTTTTGGACGTTTTAACAGACAGAAAACAGATATTTCAGAAACTGTTTGAAAAAGTGACTGGCCCGGTCTGGAACAGTATATTTATTATATTAGCCATTGAAGGAACAGGTCAAACAACAAGCTGCAAAGCACTTTTCAAAAAACTTAAAATACTGACGTTTCCAGCTACTTACATACTTACCTGTCTAATGTATGTTCACTCAAATCAAAACTCCTATACAGACCATTCTAATCATGGATATGGAACACGCCATAGGAAAAATTTGATGACACCACAAAACAGAATTTCCAGGACCCAAAACTCATTTAACCATTGGGGTATCAAGTTTTTCAATAAATTACCGATAGATATAAGACTCAAAAGTAAACCAAATTTTAAAGATACTATAAAAGAAGTTTTATTGGATAATGTTATCTACGATTTTAACGAATTTTTTAATCTGTCCTTTTAATTGTTTTGTAATATTTATAATTTGTTTTGTAATATTTTTAACATGTTTTTAATACGTTCTGTCTTACCAATTTCAATATGTTTTACTCTTTACACTTCTTACCTTATATTATTTTTACCTTGACGTGCTTTGTATTTTTTGGAAGCAAATAAACTATATTATTATTATTATTTATGTCCTCATAACAAAATACTGTTTAATTTTCTCCGAAAACTATATAAAAAAAATGAGGTCAAAAGTTTCCCAACTTTTGTAGAATCACCCATAAGTATTTCATAGACGCAACTTCAAGCACCACAGCACGCCGTTGTTAATATGGAGTTTATGCGCCGAAATTCCAATCGTTTGCAACGAATATTCGTTTAATATTAAATTACAACAAAATATTGTTACTGCCCTGCTATGAACGGCCCGGTTTAAATTGCTAAATTTTCCGTGTGTGCCTTCCGAAATTGCAGTTAAACGAAAATCACATACTCCGACCGGTCCCATTGAACGATGAACGTTGTGAGAGCGATCCAATCAGTAAATAACAAAAACAAACATGCAAAAAACGATTCATTATGTTGTCTTTTTTTCGCTTCAATGACGACGGCCTCTTTTTCCCTACGCCCGTGGCTATTGACAGGTAAGAGCACTTCGCTTAATTAATGCCCCTGAGGGTCTCTATATCGCCGGTTTTCAATTAGTTGCGTGGTCAAAAACATACGCAAGATCATTCGGTGGATTACCAATTATAATAGTTTAATGGTTCGGCAAATGTTGCATTCCATTAAATTGCACTGTCCAGTTGTAATCAACTATTTTTATCAGTTTTTTTTTTATATAAATGTCCTACTTATCAAATGAAATAAAACAAATAAGGTCAATGGCAACCAACTACACAGACTTATGTTGTTTACAATTGTTGTGCTTTGGGTTTGTGCTGTTTATAATCATTTTAAACGTTGTTTCTTACAGAAGACTTGTACAATGTTATAAAAAATAGATTTGTTAACATGAGGTAATATGCAATTTTGTAAGAATTTTGTTTATTTCAAATGTTACAAATTATTTTGTTAATGTTTTTCAATTTTTAATGAGTAATGTAAGAATTTACATTACATTTTTTATTTTAATGAGTAACGTGGATTTATTTCATTACTCTTTTTTTTTAATGAGGAAAAAACGAGGGAAAAAATGAGTATTTCATTGCTCATTTTTTAGCTAAGTACGGAAATTATTTTTTGTTGTAGATAACATTTGTTTTTTATTTTTCACACGATTGGATACTACTAGAAGTTGTCCAACTTTTTTTATTTATATTTTATAAATTTGTTGTTTTACAAATAATATTGACATTATAATAAAAAAAAATTAATTTAATAAATCAGCTTATTTTATTTTGAACTTCTGGCTATGAAAATAGAAAATTTTAAAAATTCTAGAAATTATTGACTTTAGTATTGGGGTCGGGAAAAAATGAGTATTTCATTGCTCATTTTTTAGGTAAGTACGGAAATTATTTTTTGTTGTAGATAACATTTGTTTTTTATTTTTCACACGATTGGATACTACTAGAAGTTGTCCAACTTTTTTTATTTATATTTTATAAATTTGTTGTTTTACAAATAATATTGACATTATAATAAAAAAAATTTAATTTAATAAATCAGCTTATTTTATTTTGAACTTCTGGCTATGAAAATAGAAAATTTTAAAAATTCTAGAAATTATTGACTTTAGTATTGGGGTCCCAAAACAGTCCATTCGAAAAAAAATTTGCCTTTTTTTAAAATTTTTTGAAATTTAAAATTTTTTTTATTCGATTTTTTGAAATTTGTAATCATTTTAAAAATTTGAATTTTTTTCATATAGACAAAAAAGTTTTTCCAAAATTTGATTTTTACATTAGGTACATTACACAGAGTAATGTAAGATATTTCATTACTTATTGCAAACTTTT